TACACTACACATACACATACACATACACATACACATACACATACACGTACACATACACATACACATACACATACACATACTGAAAATGCACAAAGTGTGCTCGCTTCTTTTCTCGGGCAAAGGGCTGCAAAGTGATAGTGCGAATGATCCGTCTGCACATGCCACAGGAGGCTCACCTGCACTTTACACGCCCCCTCGCAATTCGTAGGATTGGCCTGTTTCAGACCACTTCCATGCGGCCTCCTGTGCAGCATTGCCCAGGGTAAAGGCCTAGGTCCAGAGCTTCGGCAACTGTGCACTGCCGTGTCTGCTTGGCACTGCCTCGGACATTTCGGCAGGTGACCAAATGGAACGCATACCCTCTGGTCGGTGCATACAGCACCATCTCGGTCAGGCTCATCACGAGTGCCTCACCTCCTTCACGAACCTCTGGGTCCTGCCGCGCTCCAGGTGCGATCACCAGCCGACCACGACGTGCCATTGGCTTTGCCTTCGCTGACTCCCTGGTAGAACTCGCTGGCACACCTGAGCGTACAGCCGGTCCAGGTACACGTCCTGCCGAGAACTGTGACGCCCTGTCGTCTCCACTGCTGCTTGGGACTTCGGATCCAAGCGCCTCTTGTGCCATACGTCTGGTCGTTACGCCCCCTCGCTCCAACACCTTGGCCGGACATGGCTGCTGTACTGTACCATGACCTGGTTCTCGTGGTCCTTCGTCTGGTTCTCGAGGTCCTTCGTCTGGTTCACGTGGTCCTTCGTCTGGTTCACGTGGTCCTTCGTCTGGTTCTCGTGGTCCTTCGTCTGGTTCTCGTGGTCCTTCGTCTGGTTCTCGTGGTCCTTCGTTTGGTTCTCGTCGTCCTTCGTTTGGTTCTCGTTGTCCTGAGCTCGTCCTTGCTCTTGCGCGTCCGGTCCCGTACACCTTCTGCTGGGGAACCTTCGTAGCCGGCTCAAGCCCTTTGTTGTTGGACACTTCGAGCTTGAATGTCCATTGCAACTGGCTCCCAGCAAACAACGCAGCAAGGATCACCGCAAAAACCACGATGCACAGCATGATCCCGGGGTTGCTCGCAACCAGGGCCATGACATACTCCAGGAAGAAGGCAAACTTCACAAGGATGCCCTCAAGTGTCGCTGCCGTATCTTCGCCTTCGGCGCTGCACCCTTGAAGCTGCATTGCCACAAGCATCTGCGCCAGCCTCATCACACTGCGCTGGCGGCCTCCTTGTCGGGCAGCGCGTTCCTCGAACTCGCGTCGGCCAATGCGCTCGCCGTTCTCCCCGACCATGCCAAGGATAAACAGAAGCATTGCCAGCCTTCGTGCAGCCAGCACCTTCGTCCCCACATCCGCTGGGTTGACCTCGGTGGGGATGGCGGCGACTCGTAGTTCCTTTCGCGCCACCCAGCCTTGCAACCACAAACAAGACGTTGCCAAGTGCTTCACCCGGCCCACGCCGCTTCGCGCGGCTATGGCCCTGGCCACAGAACTGTCTGTCCGGGCAACCAGTTCCACATCAGCGTCCCTGGCGCCCTCCAAGAAGGCGAGAGCCTTCCGCAGAAGCACTGCTTCACCCACTGTTTGAGTGAGGGCCACCAGCTCGGCTTCACCCGAGCTTGTTGTGACAACTTTCTGGGCTCGCACAAAGGAGAAAGCCAAAGCCCCATTCACGTACAACTGTCCTGAGCTAAGGCTTCGTCTGGCGGTCCTGTCGTTGGCAAAGTTCGAGTCGGACACTGCCTCGACCAAGTGCTTGGCTGCTGCGCTGCGGCCTGGTTGCGGGTCGCCCCCTGGGCCTGGCGGGTCCTCGGTGCGCATCACGGATCGCCCTTGGCGTGGGCACAGTTTGATTCCATGCCCTTGCGTGGCCCAAAGGTAGCCCGCCAAATGCTCCACCACCCTCTTTGAAGTCACTGTTGGGGAGCTCGCCCTTGACGCCAGATACTGTATCACCACTTGAGCGTCTGGGCGCTCATTGCTGATATAAAGAAGCTTGCCCACAAAGGTGCGGAAGTCGGTGGCCTGCTTAGGGTCAAGCAGGTCACTATCGTCCACGCCAAACACCATATCCTGTGGGCCCGGAGTGCTTCTCGTCTTCGGCTTGCCGGCCAGCTCCCAGATATCATAGTAGAACCGCAGAGCTGGCCTCACAGTGATGCTCCCATTGTCTTCGACACAGTACCTCCGCTTAAGAAACTCAAACTCATCACCAGGCTTGGAAAAGGGGCCTGCAATCTTGACTGTGTACTGCTCCTTGAGGTTGGCGTAGAGGGGCTCACCTAGCTCGGCAACACCTGAAGACAACATGTCATCAACATGAAGTTGCGCAGCAAACTGACCAGCCAGGTGTCGGTACAGCGTGGGGGCCTCGAGCATGGGTTCAAGGTGGTTGGCCCTGAGGTCGCGGTTGAACTTGCTGTACCACTCTTGTGCTCCTCGGCGTTGCCCTGGGAGCACACGTCCCAGCCGCCACTGCTTGTGGGTGCCGTGGCGCTTGTACCACGAAGCTGGGGAGGTAATCACAACCGGCTCGTCCTCGGGCTGCTCCACGGTGAGGTACGCGTCCTTGATGTCGAGCACATAGATGGGAGTGCCCCACATCATTGCCATCATCGGCACCAGGCGGCCCAATGCGGCCACCGACGCTGGCGCGAACGTCTCGTCCTCATCCATCTGGGTGGCCCACTTGTACTGGCGAGCTACAAGACGAGCTCGCCGAAACCAACCTTTCTCATTCTTCTTCCAGGCGGTGGCAAAGGTAGTGGACAAGTGGTCGCCGGCTCGCCCCGGTCTGGGAGCAACACGCCCATCTGCTCCAAACGCTCAATCTCTGCTATCTCTGCTGCCTCGTCCAGCTCGGCAAGCTCGGCGGCGGCCAAGTCGGGCGGCATGTCATCGCCCATCTCGCCGGGGAGGCCGTCCTCCAGGATCTCGCCTACCACGGGCTTCGCCTCATAGGCCGCCTCATGCCACTCTGCGTCCACTGTCTCGACCAAGCGTATGCTGGGTCCATCCCCGGGCTTCTCGGCATCGTCCTCTGGCTTCCGCTTGGTGCCCTGAGCTTGGCTCTCAACCACAGGTGCTTGCTTAGGCCTGGTCGCGCCCGCAATGTCTCCCTCAGCCTTGCGCTTCACACCGCTGGGGCTGGCCTCCGCTGCAGCCAAAAGCTCGTCCTCAGAGCTGCTCCCCGCATTGCTGGTCGGCGGGTCGCTTCCAGCCTCATCGGCCCCGGCTCCTCCAGTCTGAAAAGGCTCTGCAGGGCTAGGCGGCGCCAAAGACAAAGCAGGTGTTGCGGGCAGAGAAGCTCTCCCCGGGGTAGCTGGCGTAGGTGGGGCAATAAGCCCGGCCGGCTCCGTGAGCACTGGTGCGCCGATGGCGGTCGGGGCTTGCCTCCGCTTCGCCTGGCGCCTTTTCTCCACGATGCCATGCTCCCACGGGAGGCCGAACATTTCCTTCTCAATCTCCGCCGCGGTCATCTGCACCTCTGCGGTGCCCCTCCGAACAGCGTTGCACTCGATGTGGCCAAAGGTGCTCATCAAACGGTGGGCGCCGTTGCGCGGGTTGATGCCGCACCACACGCCCTTGATCCATTGCGCCTCGCCCTTGTACTTGCGAAGAACCCGACCATAAACTATCTCACCAAACTCGCACAGCTTTTGCTCAAACAGCTTGCCACCGTAGGCCAGTTCAAAGGGGGTCTTGTTGAGGCCCGGGAGGACATGAAAACGATTGTAAATAAACGCTGCGTGGCCCTGCACCCAAACTCGGAGGTGACTGCCCACGCTGAGCTTCCCGGCTCGCTCCTCAAAGGCCTCGGCAAAACAATTTCCCAGCCGGCGCACCGTCTGGATAGCTCGCTCTGCTGCCCCGTTGGCAGCGTGGTCGCCAACGGGAGTTGTGCGCTGGTTGGCGCGCTTCCCCAGCCGCTGCCTGGCGGCAGCCACACTTCTGACCAGGGACTTCACGCTGGGCTCGCCATCGGACTGCATGGTGATGGTCTCCTCCCCGTGCAAGCTGACCGTAAACCTGGTAAGCTCCTCGGCGGCCTGTCTAAGCATCCCAGGGCCCTTGTCGGGCCCAGGCACAGAAAGCACCATGCGAGTCTGGAGGTCCACCGCGATAAGGTTGGTGGACTCCTGGTGCGCGTCGGGGTTGGGCCGGCTCTTTGTGTCCACCTTGGTGTAGTAGAAGTCCACCTGCACCACCGGAACCACATTGTCGTGAGCATTGCGGCGGTGGTGGTCGTCACGGCTCCTTGTCTTCACGCAAGAAGCACACCAAGAGGCAAAAGGAACGTGGGTGAGGCGATGTCGGGCTTGCGCGTCGGCATCGGGAACGGCATCTGGCGCACGCTCCCCATGTGGAAGCCTTGCTGTGTCCTCCTCCGCGGCCTTGGCCGCCCATGTCCCGATATAGGACTCCAGCTCCTCTTGCGTCAGGCCCGCCGGTGGTGCACCCATGGCATCATCGTCCTCCTCTGGCTCGCCCTGGTCCGCGGCTGGCTGCTGCACTTGCCCGCTGCTGCTTGCTTGCCCCGCGTCTGCGGCCTGGCTGCCATCCTCCATATAGTCGCCCGGCCTCCCAAGAAACAACCTCGGCGGAGAAACCGGCGATGGCTCATAGCGGCCTCGCTCCGAAGCCTTGGGTTCCAAGCCACCAGGAAAGCAAGCATCGTCGAACGGGGTCATGTTGAAAAGAGTGACCCTCGCCACCGGCTCGCGCGAAACCATGCCATAGGGATTATCCTCATAGGAATAATCCGCACTGTTCTCCACCTGCAGCCACCTGTTGCGATCGGTCTGCAGGAAGGTGGTTCGGCAGCACCAATAGTCTGCGTCGTACCAGTCCCGGCCATCCAGAAGGGTCGTGGCTGCCGAAGAGAAGTGCATCTTCCAGCCATTGGGCAGGTTGTGCATGCCCTCCTGGCCCACTTTGTTCAGCACCTCCTCGGGCAACTCAATGGCCGGCACTCGTGCTGGCAACGACCTCGGGATCTCGGTCAATGCTCGCACGTGTCCTCGCACCACAAGGCTGTGATTGCGATAGCCCACGGGGGTTCGCCTGCCGAACGGCTCCTCAAGCAAAAGGTCTCCCGGGCCGGCACCGGTCTTCAGCTGCCAGCCTTTGCGAAGGAGCTTTCCCACGGCCAACAAAGGGCACCTGACGGGGCCCACCACGCAACTTTCCCGAATGAGGTAGCGCTGGCCGGCCTCGTCCTCGAGCATGAACTCGCATTTTCGCACGCCCCTGCTGGCAATACGGTTGCCTTGTGCGTCCGCTAGCTGCGGGGTGCTCACGCCAAGCTCCTTTTCCCCAAGGTGGCCAAAGGACTCGGGGATCATAGAGGCGTCGGCCCCCGAATCCAAAATGATCTCGCACTCCTTGCCCTCGGTGGCCGCACCGCCCGGAGAGAGGTACGCCCCCTTATACTTTAGCACCGTCACGGCCCGCACAGAGTACTCAATGTTAACCTCGTCGCCGGGGTCGCTGGCCATATCGTAGACCTCCAGGATCGGCGCCGTCGGTGGGGTGACCATCCTCACCAAGCGCACTCCTTTATTGTGTTGCCCGGCCGAACTCACCGAAGGGGGTGCCGTGGAGCTGGTAGTAGACGCCGAGGAAGGTGGTACCGGAGTCTGGGGGTCGCTCTGCTCTTGCACTTGCCGAACTTTGTTGCCCTTGCCTTTGCCCTTGGGGTTGGCACCGGCACTCCAGCAATCTCGAGCAAAATGCCCGCGCTTTCCACAAACATAGCATTCTTGGGTGGTCTTGGCGTTGCCACCCTTTCCCTTGCCCTTCTTGCCCTTGGTGCCTTTGCCTTTGCTCACATCCTTCCCGTCGGGGCTGGCACCCTTCTTGCCCTTGCCTTTCTTGCCGCCCTTCTCCACACGATCCACTTCCATTGGCGTAGCTGTATCGCCGGTGTGCAGGGAGGGCATCGCCAAGGAAGTGCCCGACTGCCACCTCGCCGTGGACCGCTCGTAGAGGAGGATCTTGTCCCGAACCTGCAGGTACGTAGTGTCGGGGCCCAACGACATATGAAGTTGAGCCTGAAGCGCGGCCGGCGCAGCAGAAACCAGCGTACTGATCATCAGGTCCTCGGCGTACCTTGTCCCGGCCACCCGCTCGTACTCCCTGATGAGTTCCTCGTATTTTCCCAATTGTTCACTCAACGAGCGGCGCGGGTCCAAGCGCGTACTTGTCAACTGGGTAACCAAGGCCAACTGACGCTGTCTGCTGCTCGGCATCATCTCCACCATAAGTTGGCGCCACGCCTCGTACCCGTTCTGTTGTGGAACGGCCCGAACAAGTTTAGCTGGGCGGTTCCGGACGAAGGAGAG